TCGATTCAAAATCAATTTTTTCATTCAAAACTCAATGTGAGCCCGTTTCTTGTGTTCCTAAAGCGCTTCATCTTCATTTTGCAAATTTTGCACACAGTAGCTGCGTTTCCATTGRAAATGTGCGCAAAACTTTGTCGATATTCTGCTAATGTCGAAAAACATAGTTTCGCAACTGCGGTGTTTCCATTAAGTAAGAAATGTTATTAAAGTCACGTGAATACATTTTTTTCTCGCGATAAATCATTACAAACATGGCGGCGATGGATGTAAACACATAGCATGTTGCTACCACGACACTAGCGCTCATCATCAGAGGAGCCATCGGCGTCTTTTTATCGAGACTTTCCAGCAACAAGTCGGAGTGGCTACGTATGCTGAGTTTTTGGGAAATTGTAGTCGGTGAGTTTACTATTTTATACTACTTCTGTGATATTACTACTACTTCTACTTCCTGTTATCTTCTTCGTCGTCGTCTTTTTCGCCAGTAGAAACAGTCGGTTGTTGATCACGTGACTCCCGTGATGCGAAAAAAGTGTTTCCATTGCAGTTTTGCGAAAAATACCTATTTTGATACGGGCGAAAAACCACCTCATCCTAGCGCAAAAACATTTTGTCGAAAAAACTTAATTTTTTCAAAATTGACGTGTTTCCATTGAGCAAATTTATTTTCGAAATTCTAATTTGCGCATTTTCATGGTCAATGGAAACACAGCTAGTGAAGCTCAGGTCAAACTCAGACTCWTTCAGTAAAAAACAAAGTGATCCCAAATCTTTGCATTCAATTAAGACAGGGGTCAGTTGAATCTCTRTCCTCCAGTTTTGTAGTTTCCTCTTTGTTTTGGTGCTTTCTGCGCATTCATACGTTCCAGAACCAGCTCCATGTGACGTCAGGACGTCCCAAGTGGTTACAAATGAAGATTGACAACCTTTGGATTTTCTTTATCGATATCGAATCGATTTTGGGACATTATAAATCGATTCTGAATCTTTGTAAATGAGAATTGCGATTCTGATTTAAAATGACTTTTTGGTGCACCCTTAATAAATATACCCTGTGTCGTYTTATGTATCATATCACCAAATTCTTACCAATCCACATCCCTACAATTTACACATCCCAACATTTTCATATAAATGTCTAAAGTTATTTATAACATGTTTGTGTGGGAGTTCAGTCTTTGTTTGGTCTTATATAAACAGGAGACCAAAGACGATTACAATCTTTGTCTCGAAAACAAACAAAAGAAGGATTTCACTTATAAGAAATACCTCTTTTCAAGTGCGTGGGAATGGTAATGTCTTGGCAGATAAATACAGTTTATTCAGGATGAGTCTGAAGAAGAACTGGCCCTTCTTGTCTGACTTGTTTTCTTCTTTTTAAATCTGTGGGAGTATGACAGTTGAGCTTTATTGACACACTAAATCTTGCGAATACACAGCAGCTTCCTTCAGATTAGTAAAAGTGTAACAAAACGGATGTCTCCCTGCTTTTTGRGGTCGAAACGAAGGATCCGACGATACCGCTTAACATTTCCTTCCCCTTTCATCCACCCGCTCTGGAGACTTCTCGTGTTCTTCTAACCAGATGAGAAGAATCAAGGAAAACCCATCGGAACGTGGCCAGAGAGGGGAAACATGTTCCAGATGGAGCCCCGCTATCTCCATGTTTGATTCACACAAAGGCTTTTCAGTAACAACTACTACCTGAGGGCCCTCAGCAAACAAAAAAGGCTCTTATTTATTCCACACGGAGTTTGGTTGAACTCCCACAACATCCACTAAAACAAAAAGAGCCCACTGATGAGGTCTAACAAAATTAAAAAACTGGCTAAGAGGACAAAAGGTTTAGGAGTGACTCAGTAAAGAGCCTGGCACGGATAAACACTTGAGTAAACGAGGGGGGTGATATTCAACTAAATCTAAATAATTACATAGCTGGAAGCTAAATTACACTCACCAGCGATTTCCCAACAAAAGCCTTTTCAGAAAGAATATGGGAAAAGAGTGTTACACAACAGACGAAAGCAAGAAACACATGCGTGGTGGCACATATATCTAGTTTCTAAAACAAAAAAACAAACAACGCAACATTTAACAGACTATCCATCAATGTCATTTTTGTAATTCTTCCATCTGAACAGTCAGCAAAATATTTCATTAAAATTAAATTAAATGAAACTTCCACATCTACAGTTGATGGCGTCAACCCAACCGCGATCTGCACCAAGGCTACTTTTAGAACAATAGTCACGTGACTGCATCCGCTCAACAACGTACAAACTTTAGTAGCAGATCTTTTAGTTTCAATCAGTGCGCCGGTTTAGCTTTGTTTAAACTTAAAGTAGATATATGCTTAAACTGATCCCCAATATTAGAGGTTTAAATCAGCACCTTTATCAAGATGCGATATTATATCAATTTGTTTTAAAGACGATATAATGTTTCTCCATATCACAAAAATTTAAAAAGGGGCAGACATTATACGATTTATTCTTCTTCTGCTACCTTTCATTTTATTTTGATTTTTGATTTGTGTATTTTCTTTGTTTTTTTGTTGTATATGGTTATTTTTTAAATGAAATGAATAATTTTTTTAATTGAATTGAATTGATTTTAATGATAAGAGTTCAATCAACKAGTCTGCGAATGATACGATGCAAACAGATCCACATCGGGCTTTTGATGATATGGATCCATGGTTTTGTTTTGCTTTGATGTAATTTAATTATTTAATTGATATAATGATGTGGATCAAGGTATTGTTACACCCCTACAACTTATGGTTCAAAAGCTAATTGATCGTTCAAGATCTGAGTTTACAATATAAACTATTACAATCATAGGGGTGCAACGATACAGAAATTTCACGATTTGGTTCGGCTCGATACTTTAGTCCCACGGTTCGATATTTTTTCGATACAAAAAAGAGAAATTTCCATGCCCCTTTTAACTTGTAATTTATTTAAATTAATTATGACCATTTGTCTAACCTCAAAAGTACAGTTTTTAAATTAAATGTTGCTGAAACAGCAAGTTTCTCAGTGGATCTGCGCTCAAAAATGCAGCCTAGGTGGAGTAGTCGAACACAGATCTACTGATCCTTCAACAAAGAGCATCTTCAGAAGACAAGTTCATAAAGTAAATTTTAAAAATCTGTATTGATCGATACAAGTGTGTATTGAACCTAAAGCACTGTTCGATACGGGTACATGTATTGTTGCACCCCTATACAATCTATTGTTAGCAAAATATCACATAACCCATCAGAGGATTTTAATAAAACATCCAGGAATTACTTTGGAGGCAATGAACAACAATTTGGTGGCAACAGCCTCCTAACGTTATCTAATTTCGACCATAGCATCTAAACTTCTGTAAATTCTCAGCAGAAGATGATTTGTCCTTGTGGCGCGCTAACAAAGCTAGCAAGTAAAAGTCATGGCTGCCTCTTGGGGTTGCAACCAGGCCACCCACAAACACCACCTAACGACCCCATCCCAACACCACTTTGCCCATCAAACAACTGCTTAATTAGGTTGGGGTCAGGACGACCTCATCGCCACACCAAACATGAGTGGGGCCATAAGGACCCCACAAAGACAGCGGGAGGGTGTGGTTTCAGGTGATAAGTTGACAAAAAATGCCAGTTTATTAATTTTACTGTGCTCGTTTCCATTAGGAAACCATCATCTCGTCATTTTTTAAAAGAAATAAGTTTATGGGTTTAAAGACTCACATTTAATATTAAAAGTGGCCTTGGTGGAAATGAGCGTCTCTCCTGTGTACCAGTTTTCCACCCGGCACTCGAAACTCCCGGCGTCCAGCTGCCGGTCCACGGCGGTGAACTTGAGGTTGCTTCCTTCCTGGAAGCGCCTCTCGTCGTCTTTCAGGCGCTTGTTGTCGCTGTACCACCTGTACGTGATGTTGGCCGGGTTGCCGACCTCGCAACGCAACATTGCGCTGCGGCCGTGCAAGGCATCCTGGGACTTGGGCTCCTTGGTGAACTGGATGGAAACGGCCTGGACGGACAGAACTGGAAAAATAAAATAAAAAAAACAAGAGAGGTGGGTGAAGTGAATGACACGACTGAGGTTGGATGCTGTTAACATTTTATAGCTTTTTCCATTCATTAAGTGTAAGCTAAAGTAAGCACTTAAGTCCTGTGGAAGAATGTGGTGTTTAGACAATAATGGCTTGTGGTAAACGGTTCTGTTGTTAAAGGAACGGACCCAACAGGGAAAACCAAGTCCTGCCTCGATCCTAACATCGTGGTGTGAGTGGACTCCAACAGTCATCATGGATCTTAATCAAAACTAGTTTTAAACAAACAGAATCCCCACACACCCTCCAAGCTTTTATTTATACTCCCCGGTTGTACGAACAAGCTTTTATTTATGCTCCATTTACTCTCCTTACCCACTTCTAACGTTTGATTAGACGTCACGATACACAAAAAGCAAATGTTCAAGGAGGACGATGAAAATGAAACWGGGAAGGAATGCCACACGTTAGAAGACAAATTACGGCACGTTTCTGATCTCATTTGTTCAGTGGTCGACTCTTCATGACTACAACCTCCTCACTGAGCTTGGTTCTGTTCTGGGGATCCCATCTCACCTCCTGCTAAATCAATCGTTTGCTGGTTTATGTAGAGTTTGCTCATAGAGTTGTGTTAAAKAACAGGAGTGAGTCTTGGTCATGTGACCGACCCTGTGATGTACTGTAGCAGTGATGGGGCTAACCAGAACAGGCAAAAGTCTGGATTTTATCTTCACTGTGCAGCCTCTTAAGCCCAAACCTCCAGTTTTCTACTTTAACTACTAAGTTATTTAGTTAAACATAGACATGTTTGGTATCTACAAAAACATTGGAATCTTYGCTACAAGCTGGTAAAAATCATTTKTATGAACACCCAATACAGTTAAAATCACACGCAGTTGWAAATAAAACTATGAAATTGAAAATAAAATTGATTTWAAAAATTTGGCAAGTCAGATGTTAAAATATTATTTGTGGTAAATAAGAGGCATAATGTGTTATTTTTGTTTTATCATCACTACTTTTATTACACAGGGTTCTGTATGTTGTTTTCATGATTAAATGCAGCAAAATAAACTATTTCAAAGGTAACAGATCTTTGTAAAACTTGGTTTATTTACATAATGAATTTAACTGCTGGATGTTCGGCCCCTCAGCTGTTGACCTGCAGTAACTGTGGCCCCCGGAGCAATTTAGTTGAATAGCCCTGCTGTACAGGTTGGCAAARGAGCGAACAATAAGGGCTGATTATAGAAAATTTGTAAAAACTGTTAATAATATTAGCAAAATAATAATTTAGAGCAGTGGTTCCCAAACTTTTTGTCTTCTGACCCACAAAATATCCATGGCAAAAACTTGTGACCCCAAAT